GGCCAGTTCTCGCAGTGGACGCGGAACCGCGCCGGCGTGCAGCTGCGGGGCTCTGAGCGCTCGGGACCGACCCGACTGCCGGGGCCGCGTACTCCGGAATCCCCGTGCGACCTGGGATCCCAGTGCACCCCGGGACCCCTGCGCGCCCCGAATGCCAGTGCCTTAAGGCCCTCCGCGTGCCCTGCGACCCCTCTGGCCAGCCCAGGCGCCCCACGAACCCCAGCGCCACGAGCGCTCCAACCTGCCCAGGTTCCCAGGAGCGCTGAGGTGCCGCATGCTGCCACTTGTTGAGTCAGCTTTGTGTGTCGCGACCTATCGCCGTCCTGGGCCGGTGGGCCACAGTGCTTTCAGGGGCTCACGTGTTTGTCATTTTGTAGCCCAGAGAAGCAGGAAGTTTCACGAGATTCTACGGCACAGTAGGGGAAGCCTGAGGGTGGACCCAGACCACGTGGGACTCCCCCCACGACCTGTGGAAGGCGACGTGGAAGTGGATTCCGAAGCTACTTTCCTGCATAGACTGGAGGGATGTAAGTCTCTTTAAGACTGTCCCTGTGAGTGGAGGAAGTAGCGTTAGATATGTAATAGTTGACTATTCCTGATTGGCTAATTCCTTACTGTAGCTGGGGCTTCTAATCTAAGTACAGTGGAAGGTTAGAGGTTTTAACACTCCAGGTGCATTAAATTAACTTTGACTGTTTGCATTTCATCATGGAGTGAATCTACTTTAAATCTGTGCTTCTGTTAAGCTACTTTTTTTGTTTTCTGTTGTCTTGCCGTGCTGAGAGATGAACCCAGGGCCCTTCCGGTGCTGGTCAGTGCTTCTTGGCAGGGCTGCACCCCAGCCTCTTTTTAAAACTCAAACCATTACTTTCCTGGGCCTGTGATAATCTCTTAGCTCTGAGAATTTACGAAGAGGAATTACTGGACGTGCTTCATTTTCACGCTGTGTAAGAAAACAGCAGGATCACTATGAGTCCGAGCTGTGGTGTAGTGAGACCCTGCACCAAATACGTTTTTTTTTTAAAAAGAAAGAAATAGTCGTAGTCTTCATTTTTTAGAGCAGTTTTAGGTCTTCAGCACAGTTGAGCAGAAGGTACAGCGTCCCATCTCCCCCCAAACCTGCACAGGCTCTCCTGCTTTTCCATCTTGGTGCTCCTGGAGTGCAGTTGAGACTGTTACCACGTTCTGATTCCACTGCAAATACCCTCAGCTGTTTTTTGTTGTCACTTGTGTCCTTGATGAAAGTGGGTCTATGAAGGGAAGTGTGATCTCTTCCTCAGAAGATAGAAGATTGGGAAACTTGATTTTGAAACTTGAAATACTGTTCCAAAGTAGAGACTGAAGTTGTTTGGAAACAGACTTTTCTTTGAGTTGCGTTAGCGGATGCCGGAGTTCTTGCAGACAGTTCTTCCCTAGGTCATTTGCCGTTTTTCCTCCTGAGTGCTGGGCATTGGAAATTGTAACACCTTTCTGGGACTTGAGAAATGATCCCTTATGTCTGCAGACTTAGAACTTAGTTCTGGAATTCATTGTTTGAGTGAGCTCTGTGACACCACCTTGAGGGGTGCAGTGCTTGGCTTGGCAGGTGACATGGTAACATTTGCCCCTGTGGGTGGATCCTTAGGGTTCTTTTGTTTTTGTTTTTCCTTAGATTGGATTTGGGGGCCACAGAAAGCACGGAGAAACTGCAGAGCACGTATTTTTCAAGTGAATGCTTTGAGGCCTTTCTCCTTAGAGATGTTTGCACACCTGCATGTTTTTGCCCAGAGAATAGGAGAGTAAGGAAACTTCAACTGAGAACAGGTTTCATAGGTTGAGAGAAAATTAACAAAATCCTTATTTTTCACTGGTGCATTGTGAACACTGAAAACAAGTTTTTTGCAAAGGCAAATTTAGAATTATTTTTTATATAAACCCTTTCAGCATTTTCTGGGCTGATATTTCTCAAAAGGAAAGTGGCTTTCTCAGCCTTTAAAGCATTTGATATAAGTAATCATAGTTCTTCCGGAGACTTGGGTGCTTTCCCATGTGTTGTTGCATTGTTGCGTTTGTTTCCTTGAAGCCTCTTGACATGTGGGTGGTTCCTCCCTATTTTGGGTTTCCAGGAAGCGTAGGGCCGCAGAGAGAGGGGCAAGCCCAGTTCTATGTGCAGGATAGCCAGAGTTTGGTCCTACAGCTTCCGCCTAGTGCTCATCCAGGGCTGGCCATCTTCTTCCATGTGGAAATGTGTCTGTCCTCATTGGCAGACAGATGATAGCAGTCATTTCTATGTTAAGATTTGGGTTTTTTCTCCTTCAAGCTAACACTTGAAGCATGGTTCTATGTACTTAAAGAAATAATCTTAGGGCTGGGGAGATAGCTCAGCGGGCTAATGCCTGCTTAGGCAAATGCAGGACCAGGGTTCGACCCTGGTAACGTATGTCGTGCCAGCCCTGCCCTTGAGCACACTGAGCCAGTGACAGAGTCTGGATGTGGTGGTGCACGCCTATAATCCCAGCACTGGGGAGGCTGAAAACAAGAAGATCGCTATGAATCCAAGCTGTGTAGTGAGACCCTGTACCACATACATTTAAAAAAAAGAAAAAGAAATAGTCTTTATTTTTTAGAGCAGTTTTAGGTCTTCAGCACAGTTGAGCAGAAGGTGCAGAGTCCCATCTCTCCCCTAAACCTGCACAGGCTCCCCTGCTTTTCCATCTTGGTGCTCCTGGAGTGCAGTTGAGACTGTTACCACGTCAGTACCCCTGAAGTCCATAGGTGACATTAAAGTTCACTCTTGCTGTTACATGTTTATGGTTTTTGACAAATGTGTAATGACATATATCTACCACTTTTTTTTTTTCTACCGTTATACATATTATCAGAGTAGTTCACTGTCCTCAAAGTGCTCTGTGCGCCATCCCTCCTTCCCCCAACCCTGGCAACCACTGGCCTTACCACCTCCATGGTTTGCCTTTTCCAGAATGTGATAGTTAGAATCATGCATGTAGTCTTTTCAAATTAGCTTCTTCATTTGAGTAATGGGCACTCAATTTTTGTTTTCTTCATATCTCTTCATGGTATGTTAGCTCTTCTCTTTGCTGAATAACACAGTTCACCCATTCACGTGTTGAGAACGTCTTGATCACTGCCGGGTTTGGGTAGGTATGAGTGAAGCTGCTATACGTATCTGTACATAGGTTTTGGTGTGGACAGAAGTTTCTGGGTCCTTTGGTTAAATGCCAAGGAGCATGAGTGCTGGGTTGTGTGGTGAGAGTAAGTTTCCTTTTGTCAGAAACTGCTGAATTGTCATAGTTGCACATTTCTCCTTCTTACCAGCGGTGAGTTCAAGCCCCTATTGCTCTGTGTCCTTCTTGGCATGTAGTGTCAGGGTTCTGGGTATTGGTTGTTCTAGTAGTGTGCAGTGGAGCCTCTGTGTGTTTTAATTGCTTTTCCCTCGTGCTGGATGATGTAATGTGGAGTATCTTTTCATACTAGGCTTGTTTGCCATCTGCAGATCTTTGCTCCCCACCCCTTTTTTTTTGGACTAGAGTTTTTTTTTTTTTTTAGCAGAACCGGGGGTCGAACTCAGGACTTGCACTTGCTAGGGATGTGCTTATTCCACTGAGCCATCTCCCCAGCTCCTTGGACTAGAGATTAATGAGCTATTATCACTAGCCCTTTTTTATTTTTTAATTTTTATTTATTTATTTCTTTTATTTTTTATGGTGGAACTGGGGATTGAACTCAGGCCCTTATGCTTGCCAGTGAAGCGCTTATTCCACTGAGCCGTCTCCCCGGCCCCCACTAGCCCTTTTTAAAATTTTACTTATTTTGAAGTAGGGTTTTCCTAAGTTGCCCAACCTAGGTTCAAACTTTCAGTCCTCCTGCCTCAACCTCCCAGCATATTCCATTTATTTATTTAGCAGTAGTACCAGGGATCAAACTCAGGACCTTTTGCTTGCCAGGCAAGCACTTATTCCACTGAGCTATCTCCCTGGCCCCCAATATGTTCCATTTAATTTTTTTTTTTTTTTTTTTTGCGGAACTGGGGATTGAACTCAGGCCCTTGCGCTTGACAGGGAAGTGCTTATTCCACTGAGCTATCTCCCCGGCCCCCCAATTTTTTTTCATACTGAGTTCTGAAAGTTTTGTGTATTGGGTAACAGTCCTTTATTAGATTAATATTTTGCAAATATTTTCTCTTATTCTGTTGCTTATTTTTTCATTCTTTCACAGGGTAGAGTTTTTATTAATTTTTTTGTGGTGCCAGAGCTTGAGCTCAGGGAGCTTTAAGCTCCACCATAGTGGATTTTATGTTTTTTACTTTGAGACAAGATTTCACTAACTTTCTCAGATTGGCCTTTAACTTGTTACCCTTCTGTCTCAGCCTCACAAGTAGCTGAGATTATAAACATGTGATACTGTGCAAGGCTCAGAAAGTTTTTAATTGTAATGTAGCTAAATTACTGATTTTTAAAATGGATTGTGCCATTGCTGTAGCTACAAAGTCATTGTCAAAGCCAAGATCATGTAGATTTTCTCCTGTATTACTTTTTAGCATTTTTATAGTTTTTCATCATTCATTTAGGTCTGTGATCCATTTCAAGTTTGGTTCTTTGTGAAATGTATATGACCTGTGTGTAGATTAATTTTTCCATATGTGAATATCCAGTTTTAGTTGTGTTTATTGAAGACTTTTCTCTCCCTTGTGTTGTCTTTGCTCCTGTATCAAAGATAAGTTACCTGTGGCATCCATTTCTGGGCTTTTCCTGTGACATCAATCTACCTTCCTTTTGTCAATCCTGCACAGTCCTTTTTGGTTTTTGTCTTTTTTTTTTATAAAGCTACATGCTTTTAAAAATTATTATTATATGTTTAGTACAGGGTCTCACTATGTAGCTTGGACTAATAGTGGTCCTCCTGTTTTCAGCCTCCCCTGTGGGCAGTTGTAGGCGTGCGCCACCATGCCGGGTCTCAGTGGCAGGCTCAGTGTGCCTGTGGCATCGACGCGGCCTGTGGTGCTGGGGATCAAACCCAGGTCCCTGTGCTTGCCTAAGTGGGTACTTAGCCTGCTGAGCTATCTCTGGCCCTTGTTTTTTGTCGTTTTGAAACAAGGTCTTACCATACAGCTCAGGCTGGTCTGAAATTTGCAGTTATTTTCCAGTTCTACCTCAGCTTCCCTAGCGCTGGGATTACACGTGTACCACCACGCCTGACTTTTTGCACTGTCTGATTGCAGTGGTTTCACGGTGAGTCCTGAAGTTGGGTAGCGCCAGGCTTCCGACTTGTTTAGCCTTCGTTATTGTATTATCTGTGCTGTCTTTTGCCTTTCCACGTAACTTATGATCAGTTTTTCAGTATCCATAACATACCGTGCTAGGTGTTTGACTAGTGGTGTCAGCTGAAATTAAAGTCCTTTCAGAATTTGTACGTTGAAACCTCGTGTACTGTGTGCTGGTGTTTGGAGGTGGGGTCTGGGGAGGTGATTGGATCACAGGTGGGGGTGGGGGGTGGTCTTGTGGAATGGGATTGGTGTCTAGAGAAGGGA